CTTTACTATACCCACCTCCAATTTTATTTTTGGGTTTGGGGGCCCGGGGGGTGGGGGGGCGGGCGGGGGGTTCCCGCCCCCCGCCCCCCCCCCCCCCCCCCCCCCCGCGCGGGCGGGCGTGGGCGTGCGACTTGATCATCCCCATGGGCCACGATGGCTGGCCATCGGCCGAATGCCAGACGCCAGGGCGGCCAGGTCCAGGCGGCCCAGGCCAAGGACCAAGGGCAAGTGGGTGGGTACCCGCAGATGCTTGTTCGGACGACGGGATGTGAATGATGCGCATGCGCTACCTACCTACCACATTACATGCATACTGCCGACGGACTCGTGGAGTGCGAGTCAGTACTTGTAGTTTGGGCAAGATAGGAACTTGACCCTTGAGAGGTTGCAAATTATCGATGATCCAAAGCGCCACATCATTTCAGCCTTTCGGCATTGCGGTTGCCTTCAAAGCCTATGAGACAGATTGGTCCTGCCCGAGTGCCGACCGATCGTACCGTGCGTGAGCTACAAATACTGTACTTTGGACACTGTATTGGTGATCTCGGCCAGACGGATATTCGTCTCGTCCATGGTGCTCCTTCAACCTTGACATGATGCATTGAATGTCGTGCCATATCTTGGCATTCATCGAGCAAGCATGGACGTCAGGTGTGTGTTTCCAACAGACGTTGCAGCGCATGCACCTCTCGGACGAGATGACGGAACCTTGCTACGTAATCACTATTATATACGGTTCTCTCTTTTTTCACACTGGAAGCAGCGCTGGCTAATTCAAGTCTTTTTTCATTGTGCTACGCTTAAAATCTGCAGTCATGCACAAGCCGTCCCAGCTACCTTAGGTAGTCTATGCCGGTAGAGGCCCCTAGGTTCTTCCGTCGAGTTCCCCCGAACGGGCCTTTCTGCTCTACTGAGCCTGTCTCGTCACAAAGTTCATCAGCTCCGCCTCCGAGACCAGCAGCATCTGCTTATCTGCCATCGTCGAGTTCGTCGCCGTGCGGCCCCCGAGCCAAGCCCGCCATATATTCTGCAGCGCATGCTGCGTCTGCATCTGGCCCGCCATGCTCTCGTTTTCCGCCATCGTCAGCCCAGGCGTCGCTGTGCCCGTCACCAGGTCAGGTCCTGCGTGGCCCGCGCGGCCAAGACGCTCCTCATCGCCCTCTCCCACCGTGAGCAGCAAGCGGGTAGCCGCCTTGAATCGGTCCACAATGTGCCACAGGCAGCCCCAGATCAAGTCGCTGTGTTGATGGGGGTAGCCCAGCTCCCGAAAGGGGCAGGCCACGTGCTTAACTCGTGCTGTATCCTCCTTGCGCAAGTAGTACACCATGGGCGCGTTGAAGCCAAACGAGTCGTAGGCCTCAAGGTCGCCTGTGAGGAAGAGTGCGTCTTGGGCAAAGTTGAAGTAGGTCCGTGGCGGTGCGCTGTTCGGCCTGCTACCCTTGATGCGCCACCCAAAGGTGAGCTCGTAGTGCTTCAAGCCCAGGGCGCGAGATTCGCTGTTGACGTGCAGGATGGCTGGTACCTGGTTCCCACGCGTCGTGCGCGCGTCCAGTTCCTTGCGACGGGCAGCGATCTTCTCGCCAGGTTGGTATCCCCCGCGTGTGTCATTCTGGAGGCAGCATACGCCGACGATGCGTGGCTGTATGAGGCACTCCCAGACTTTGAGCCGGAGCTCCGGTGGTAACTTTGTGAATTGGGGAAAGTCTCCCGTGGACGCCACATCGTCAACTCTGCTGCCGCTGACGGTGGTGGTGGTTGGCGAAGGAGATCTGCCGGTCGAAACACTCCGGCTCAGGCTAGCATAGCGGCGGGGCGAATGTGGCTGGTGTCCATCATCAAAGGTCCGGAACGCGAGCGCACAAACGGGGCCCGGGGAATCATCTTGAACACTGAGCGAGCTCATGGTCGGTGATCAAGAGCGCGGAAAATCCACGAGTGTGCTTTCGTGCGACGCGTGTGAGTCTTGGGCCTGAAATGCCAAAGTGTGGCTGATCTGAATACCGGTATGCACTCGCTTGCTTGCTACCTGGAAGGAGTCAAGGACCCGTGACGCGCACCAGAATCGAATTCCGGTTTTGCGATGTTCCAGATTTGCCCCAGACCACCTCTGTCTTGATGTGGCGACGCGACTGTGAGATATCTCGATGCAGAGCGGCGGACGTAATTACTTGCGTCGTGGTGCCTGAACAAATTAACAAGCTGCAAGTTGAAGGAAGATGAAGAAAGAAGAGAGATTGCGCAGTGGGATGATTGAAATGTGGTGATGGTATTGTTCTAGATGCGGGTGACGATGCGTAGTCGCACAAGTTAATTGACAGGTGAGCCTGCAATGAGGCGACGTGCATGCAGCCAGGCCCTGACACATCACGCAGCATGGGAGATGGGATGCTTTATCAAGAGGAAGGAGAACGGAACAAAAGCTCCCTTGTTTTAATTTAACATAACAACTGTCGCTATGTGTTCTTTCGGTCGCTGATTTAGTCTGCCGGGACAGGCGTGCTGTGTGAGCTCCCAAGCACCTCCCAACTCCGCAATCTAACATCTCTCTCAGGTTGAGCTGGCCTTCCTTGGCCTCTGAGAAGCTTCACGATGTAAGGGTCTCTAATGACAGTGTTGTGCAAGCCCTCTTCATCGGGACCATTGCCGTCACCGAGAATGACATTGCCGAGGAGGAATGTCGCGATCCAAGCCAGCACCAAAAACGGTGTGACGGCAACAAATGCCCAAACCACGCCCATTTTGGCATTCTCCCTGAGCTCGTCATTCATTCGAGGGTCGCTGGTGCTCGTCTCTTCAAAGCCTGGGTCGTATTCCAGACCAGACAGGTTGTTGAACACGGTAGTCATCACTGTGAGCCCCAAGGTTCCACCAAATGGATGTGCAAGAGCCATCGTTCCCGCAATGACCGCGCGATGTTGGCGAAAGTAGCCCACACCATGCAGCGGGCCTGACATGTAGCGCAGACCTGAGCCGACACCGACAAGCGCCATCATGCCAAAGATGATCGACGGCTTCTCGTTGTAGCAAGCCCACGACAGCATCCCGAGACCGACAGCCTCGACGAGGGTACCCAAGAAAATCGGTGGCCAGGTCATACGAGGCCAGGAGTTGCAGAGGAAGGAACAAATAATAACACCGCCTGAGTACTGTTAGCTGACAAGATCTCCCTTTGCGCGGTACGTTGCCATATTTACCAGACAACCCAGGAATGAAGAACAGAAGTTGAACTCCAGCCTCATCGGGCCGAAAATCCTTTACCGAGATAAAGTAGATGTTGCAAAAGTACAGTACCGCATACATGGCCACTCCAGAGGTTGTCTCTGTGAAGAAGACCAACATGATGTCCTTGGTCGTGATGATGTTCCATGGAATCATGGGCTTTTGCGTCGGGAATCTTTGAGAAAGGAGTTTCCCCGGCGCCATGAGATACTCCCAATACACAAACACCCCAGTCAACAGGGTCCCAAAAACCATTGGAACAACGACTGCCGCTGACGCCCAGGGATACGTCGCGCCTCCCCGTGTCAGACCCAAGATGATCAGGCCAAAACCAACCAGGAACAACGCCTGACCCCCAAAGTCGACGGTCTTAAGTCGTGCGCCGAACTTGGTGCGGCGTCCTGTCTCAACTGTCTCGTCGAGTTCCGGAATGGGCTGCGCGCCGAGTAGCTCCTTGCGCAGGAGGAAGTAGACCGTCACGAGAGCGACAACACCCATGGGAAGGTTGATCGCAAAGCACCATCGCCAATTCGCGTTGGTAAGATAGCCCCCAATGACCGGTCCAAGACCGTAGGCAGTGCCACCGACAAAGGCAAAGATGGACCAGTTGCTTGCAGCCTCCTTGAGCGAGACACGATCGGCTAGAATCGTCTGCACCACTACGTTGAGGCCCGCCGCCGCCAGACCTTGAAAGCCACGTCCGAGGAGGAGCATCGGGAAGGCGCTCGTCGGAGCCCCTGTGCACAGGGCACTGCCGAGGAGCATTAGTATGATGCTTCCGTTGATCGTGGCATTGCGTCCGAATACGTCGCACATTTGCGCCCAAAAGGGGATGAAGGCAGCAGATGTGAGGTTGAAGGCTGATACGATCCAGTTGAGCTGGGAGAATCTGCCAAAGTCATGGGCGATCCACGGCAAGGCGCTCGCGATGCTGTCAGGTGTCAGTGGGTTACTCTCTGGGTCGCCGACGCGATACAGGTTACGAACATGGTCGAGTCGAGAGCTTGCAGAGCAAAAGGAAACACCAGCCCAAGGATGATCTTCCATCTGTATTTCCGCGCTCTAGTCGCCTCCGCTGCGCACAAGTCGCAGGGCTCGAGGGATGGCGCGATCCGGTGCTCGCACGTCTTGGGGTTTGTCTTTGACTTCCTCTTATCGTCTCCCGACGCCCAGCCAAGGAGCCAGTTTGGAATCATGAGTTTGTCTTTGGGTTTCCCGTCGAGCATGCTGAATCAGTGTAGTAGCAAGCAGTCAGGATGACTAGGGGGGTTGATGTTACTCCTGATGATGGAGATGCGCATGTAGGAATGCTCAAGAACCATCCGTCAGGTGCAGCGACGAGACTAAGTCATACTTGTATATCGCGACACTTCAGTCTCACTCGAGCTAGATCCATGTCGCTTCATTACCGCCGTAAGGTTGTGTCGCGGCTAAGGAGCCTCCATGACTCCAAGGCCTGGAGTTCGAATGGTTTTACCATATCCGTATAACTGGCCTCGAAAGGCAATGCGACATATGAGGTGCAAGTAGGCCTGCTGGTCCAATGAGAATCAACCTGCGCTTGACGGCTGCCTTGTCGCTCGAAAGGGTTGACAAGTTCGGCATTCTCATGCGTCGAGGATGAAGCACGGGTCGCATCCTTAGAGTCTCAGGGAAGGCGCAGGGGATGAAGCTCGAATGGCTGCCCCAGAATGGCTTAGCGCCCTGTCATCAGTAAGTTCACCGGCCGGGGCGACGTATTAGGGCTGCAATCTCGAATCAAAGTCTCGATATGTCAAGAATCAGTTGGCAGGGCCAGCTTGCATAGCGAAGCGACTGATACAAAGTCCCAGGCCGTTTGTTCAGAACAAACACTGTACGCTAGCACCATCCATGTACACTTACTTAGTACGCATGGAGGCGGGCCTCATTGTAGTTATGTCGCATTCGCTAGATACCTACCCTAAACACGATTCCTGTCCGGACATCTTGTTGGCGAAATCTCAGCGCACATCTTGTTCGAAAGTCGTATGCCTACGGGTATATAAAGAAGCTGTCGTCACTGCAGGATCGGATGTTTATTCTCTACCATTGGTAGATAGGAGCGCAGATATGATGCTAGGTCATTCACAACAACAGCGCCTGGCAATGCGGATAGACGTGCTTGCACCGACACGACCGAGCATCTCCATGTCCTTAAAAGTCACAGTTATGGAGAGAATCTCGCACACAGGGCTACGACATACTGGCCATGATTGAAACACTTTATAGCAGGTACCTTTGCACAAAACATCAAAACGATCTACTGCTGCCTGCGCTCAATGGAAACGCACGCGCCGGGTTTGCAGGATCACACGATTGCCACTCCACTAATCGTACCACAGTAGTGCCATGAAGAATTTGCGCGAATGGTCCAGTGGCAGCGAGGCTTGGACCTTGTTAGCTGTGTGCTCAAGCTGGACCACCCGCTTGATGATCGGTTATACGGTACGTAGACCCGCGGGCAAAGCAGTCAAAGAAGATACCAAGCCCAAATTCTAAGAAGAATGTTGAGAAGGCCGCCTATTGCAGCATGACGCCGGTCAAGCTACCCGGGCGACCTGGAAAGAGAGTTCTGTGGGGATGCTCTGACGAAATGTTGAAATAGGCTCCAGTCTGTCGTGGATCGGAGCATCACCAAACTCAATTATCCCGCTCCGCCCAGCGCGGGCGCTGTTGCTGTGCCACTGACAGCCTCCAAACTGACAGAGTTCCGATGGCGGGGCAGCTCTGGCAGCTCCGGTCAGCTCAAGCAACGAGCAGATTAGTCAGGCCGACTGCTTGTCTCCTGTAAACTTTTTCCAGAATCGCAACGGCATGAGAATACGTACAAGAATCCAATTTAGCTTCTTTGGGGCTGCAAATGTACTGTATCGTCATCAATGGAAACTATTCGCAACAGCCCGGACTAAGAGATTACAACGTAGTCGCCTCTTCGAAATCTTTTTCTCCCAGCAACGCCCGAAAAGAGGGGCTGCCAGCAGGGGGTGGGGAGCTAGTGGTGGGGCAGGGACAGGTACCTGAGGCTCAGGCAAATTCAGGCTGCTGATACATGTACCTGCGCCCCGCGGTGGGGTCTGGAATTTTAGGATCTTCATGACATCAGTCGCATCAGAGCTCAGGGAAGGCGCGATGGACAGCATAGAGCTCCTTGACAACGGCAAGAAGTCAGAAGACCAGGAAAACTGTAGGATCGAGACCATTGTAGATGGGCGGCTCTGGAATGTGTATCGTGTCTTCCAGGCGGTTGTGGGTGCTTCGCCTGAGTGCGAGAGCGATGCAGAGGCTTCTGGAAGGCCCCTGCTAAATCGGTGTGGGCTTTTTTGGAAATGCAAAGAATCACGTCGAACCTCGCCCATCCGCCTTTATCTAGGTGCATGCCACGACCTCTCAATCTCTGCTCTGCTTCGTTTTTTTCTCATTCCTCATACAATTCTTCTGTGATACCCAAATCCTCCTCTTCTTTTCCCCTCAAGAGATTCACAGTCTTCCCATTATTCACCAAAATATCACACCCATTCAGGATCTCACAACACACATCAGACACAATGGCTCCCGCCGTCGGTATCGATCTGGGTACCACGTACTCGTGCGTGGGTATCTTCCGTGAGGATCGTTGCGACATCATTGCCAACGATCAGGGCAACCGCACCACTCCTTCATTCGTCGCCTTCACTGATACCGAGCGTCTGATCGGTGACGCTGCCAAGAACCAGGTCGCCATGAACCCGCACAACACAGTCTTCGACGCCAAGCGTCTCATCGGCCGCAAGTTTGCCGACGCTGAGGTGCAGGCTGACATGAAGCACTTTCCCTTCAAGATCATCGACAAGAGCGGCAAGCCCGTCGTCGAGGTCGAGTTCAAGGGCGAGACCAAGCACTTCACCCCCGAGGAAATCTCCTCCATGATCCTCACCAAGATGCGCGAGACTGCTGAGGCTTACCTCGGTGGCACCGTCAACAACGCTGTCGTCACTGTCCCCGCCTACTTCAATGACTCTCAGCGCCAGGCCACCAAGGACGCTGGTCTCATCGCCGGCCTCAACGTGCTCCGTATCATCAATGAGCCCACTGCCGCCGCCATTGCCTACGGCCTGGACAAGAAGGTTGAGGGCGAGCGCAACGTTCTCATCTTCGATCTTGGTGGTGGTACCTTCGATGTCTCTCTCCTGACCATCGAGGAGGGTATCTTCGAGGTCAAGTCCACCGCCGGTGACACTCACCTGGGTGGTGAGGACTTCGACAACCGTCTCGTTAACCACTTTGTTAACGAGTTCAAACGCAAACACAAGCGAGGTGAGATTGGCCCAACGAACGAGTTGAATATTGTCTGGACTTTACACTAACTATTTTTTGCAGATCTGTCCAGCAACGCCCGTGCCCTGCGTCGTCTTCGCACTGCCTGCGAGCGTGCCAAGCGCACCCTGTCCTCCTCCGCACAGACCTCAATTGAGATTGACTCTCTTTTCGAGGGCATTGACTTCTACACCTCCATCACCCGTGCCCGCTTCGAGGAGCTTTGCCAGGATCTCTTCCGTGGCACAACCGCCCCTGTCGACCGCGTCCTCTCCGACGCCAAGATCGACAAGTCCCAGGTTCATGAGATTGTCCTCGTCGGTGGTTCTACCCGTATCCCCCGCATCCAGAAGCTCATCACCGACTACTTCAACGGCAAGGAGCCTAACAAATCCATCAACCCTGATGAGGCTGTTGCTTACGGTGCTGCCGTCCAGGCTGCCATCCTGTCTGGTGACACTTCTTCCAAGTCCACCAACGAGATTCTGCTGCTTGACGTCGCCCCGTTGTCTCTCGGCATCGAGACCGCTGGTGGCATGATGACCAAGCTCATCCCCCGCAACACCACCATTCCTACGAAGAAATCCGAGGTCTTCTCGACCTTCTCCGACAACCAGCCTGGTGTGCTCATCCAGGTCTACGAGGGTGAGCGTCAGCGCACCAAGGACAACAACTTGCTTGGCAAGTTCGAGCTCACTGGTATTCCTCCTGCCCCTCGTGGTGTCCCTCAAATTGAGGTCACCTTCGACCTTGATGCCAACGGTATCATGAACGTCTCCGCCGTCGAGAAGGGTACTGGCAAGTCCAACAAGATTGTCATCACCAACGACAAGGGCCGCCTGTCCAAGGAAGAGATCGAGCGCATGCTGTCTGACGCCGAGAAGTACAAGGAGGAGGACGAGCGTGAGGCTGGCCGTGTCGGTGCCAAGAACGGCCTGGAGTCTTACGCCTACTCCCTGCGCAACACTCTGTCCGACCCCAAGGTGGACGAAAAGATTGAGGCTGCCGACAAGGAGACTCTCAAGTCCGAGATTGACAAGACCGTCACTTGGCTTGACGACAACCAGCAGGCCGCCAAGGAGGAGTACGAGGACAAGCAGAAGGAGCTTGAGGGCGTTGCCAACCCCATCATGATGAAGTTCTACGGAACAGGTGAGGGTGGTGCTCCTGGTGGCGCTCCCGGTGGCTTCCCTGGCGCTGGCGGTGCCCCCGGTGGTGCTGGTGGCGATGACGGCCCCACCGTTGAGGAGGTCGACTAAATACTATGTCTTGATACCCACGTCAAGACTTGTCGACATTTTGATGGAATTGGTACTGCGATACTAAGGCGCGCTGGTTTCTACTGGGATGAGGATTGATTAGACACTTGATATTTTTTGCGTTGCATCATGGTTCACGATAGGGAAAAGCATCGGTCTGTACTTTAATGAGTCAATGAAGATTTATAACTTCAACAACAGCGTCTCGAAGTGAATTTAGATGTTTGTCTTGGCTGCTCTAATCAACATCTCATTGCCAGTTTGGCGAAATTCTCTTGGTTTTCTCAGTCAATCTGGTTCGGGACAATACACTGGCTTGCCCATCTATCAATGACAACTAAGCCTGTCCCATGAACATAGCTGTGTACCATTGTTATTCCGACGAGAACATCATCTCTGCATATCCGATGAATCCTTGATTATTCTGTTTAATTTTGTCTGACAATACGTCGTCTTCCTATCTATCAATATTAACGAGACATTATACTATCTACTCCGACGAGAAGATCTCTGCCTGCATGCTCAACACATTATTAGTTATCTTCTTAAATTTGATCTATACCAATACGCCGGCCTGCTTATGTATCATTGATTGTGAGACCTCGTACCATAGCTGCTTGGACGGGCGATATTACCTCTGTATGTCCGATGGATATTTTTTATGAACTAATTAATTTGTGTCTCTGATAGATAATACGCCGGACTTCATATCTATCAATAGTAATAAGACCGTGTACCGAATTATGTAGACCCCAACAGTGAGTTGGTCTTGACACAGTTTCTATGCAATTTGTTACAAGAGCCAAAATCATGATGCGCTCGCCGGCTTGTCAATTCCCAAACTCTCCCTTAACTGCCTGCGCCTCTCGTTGTCATTCCGCCTCCATTCGTCGTCGTCTCGTTGTGTGCTTGCGTCAAATGCCTGTGTGAACACTTCATCGTCTCGGACGACCCAGTCCCTACTCTGCCAGATGTCCTCGCTGCTCCTCGCCCCGGGCTTGTAGTACTTCTCGTACTCCTTGTTCCGATAGTGCTGCCTGACAGCGTCTGCCTTGACAGCACCCGTATGCGACTTGGTCCGCATGCAAAACCAAAAGTCGTCCCATTGCTGGCTGCAGGAGCGCATCTCGCCGTTGCGGTAGACGGCGTTGAACTGGCCTCCGAGTGAGTTGCACGCCCATGCGAGATCGAAGGCCTGGCGGCAGGACATTTCGGTGGGGAGCAGAGCTTCGGAGAGGGGATCGCGAGGGGGAGCGTTCTCAGACGCTGGATCGATGGATTTAGACGCTTTGAGTGTGAACCATGATGATTTGGACTCGGATTCTGCTTGTGATGTGCTAGAGGACGTCGGAGATGACTTTTGTGCCGGCGTGGGAGCCTCAGGCTTCTTGCCGTCGTTGTTGAAGAGGTCGAAGAATTTTTGAATCTCAGGGTCCATACTGGGTTCGTTCGGTGCAGTCCTGGGTGTCGACGTAGACGGGGATGCAGTTGTGGTCGTGGCTGCCTTATCGGCTGGAGGCGCCGTTGGCTCTTTGGGAGAGCCCGATGCCCAGAGCCAGCCCATGATGTCTTCTATCGGTCTTGGAGAGAGAAGATGTGTCCAGGTGTTTCTGGTCGTTTGAGGCAGAGAAAGGAATAATTAGACACTCGGGCGATGGGTGAAAGACCGGTTTGCAAACGCGGGGAAGTCACAGTATCTTCGTATAAGTCTGGATCGCGTGACGGGAGGGCCGTATGCGTGCTGTATGCGAGGCGACAGAACGTGATTCGTTTCTGGGGAGTGGTGCTCAGGCTTGGTGTATCGCGTGCAAGATGATTGGCTTCAATCTCGGCGTTCACAAGGTATGGAGTACTAAGGTACAACCGTACATCTAAAGCGGGATCGGAAGATCTGGACGTCCGGGCAATGCGCCTTCCTTTCCGCGTCCGGGTGCAGTGACATCTGGATTCTGGAGTGCAGGGTGGGGCCGTCATCGCGACAATGACCTCATTGGCTCCAGAACCAGTCCATCTGAACTCGAGGCAGGAGCCGTAGCTAGCCTGGAGCAATCTGGTCCGACTAGATGGATCCTTCTCTCTTCGTTGTCGTGTTGCCTTTGTGAAGCTGTGTCGCCATGTTCCGCCTGCGACTACCAGTGGCGACATTGGCCCTGCGGCCTGGTGTTCCATCCCATCAGGCCATCAGGCCGCTTCTAGCTTCGACGCGGCAGCGCGTGAAGCATGGAGCTGTCGTGAGGAAGGTGTGGGAAAGCACCTCGCCAATTATTGACGAGAAGGATAAGGATGACGGCCATATCGGCGTCAAGCCCAATGAGACTATCATATTCTTCGACAGTAAGTATACGGCAACCACATTGAAGCTGGAACTGACAACTGATTGCAGACCTCTTCCCTCTCAAACTGTCAAGCATCCTCAACCGGGTATGGAAGACAGACAGAGATATGGCCCAGGTTCTTCAGCGGTTCGAGACTTCATCGCTCGGCATCATGGACCCTATTCGTCTCGTGAAGAACGCGATCCCCAAAGATATGCAACTGCGGGCTACAGAGATTCTGCCGCGGCTCAAGGACGGTGGCGCTTTTGTCAAGTTTGAGCACTCAGCTGCTCTGGATGTTGGCTCTACTGAAGGTGAGGTGGAAGTTGCATTATCGACCACGTGTCTCTAACATGGCCAGAAACGTTGATCAACAAGCTTAATGACCGACCCATCAAACCATGGTTCAGCCCCTTCCGTGGCATCAAGGCACATCTTGTCCGAGGAACACCCTGGCTGGAGGACCTTTATCGGTACCCTTCGAACCTTGTCAAGATTGAATTTGTCGCACCCGAGCCTGGGGCCGAACCCATGGAACTGTCCGAAGAGAAGCTCTACACACTGTTCCGCCGCTATGGCAAGATTGCGGACATCATTCCCCAAGCTCAGGACAACAAGGCTACACCGAGGTTCGCTTACCTGGCCTTTCCTATGATGCGTGACGCCATCATGGCGCGGAACTGTATGCATGGCTTCGTCGTCGGCGAGGCCCTAGGCGGTGGGAAGATGGGCACCAGGCTGCGAATGTCCTATGAAAAGCGTGTCAAGGCGCATAGTATCTGGAATTGGCTCACAAATCACCCTCGTATCGTAGTGCCCGCGATTGCAGCGCTCATCGCCGGTATCTCAGTCATCGTCTTCGACCCTATCCGCCAGTTCTTCATCGAATTGCACATCCAGCACTCCCTACGTTTCACTGAATCGAGGGTGTACAAATGGTTCAAATCGCAGACCGACCAACTCAACATCACCAAGAAGTCGTCTCCCCACGATGACCTCAGCGCCGTCTGGAACCATCGCCGGGACCTGATCGATCAGCTGCGAAGTTGGCTCGATGGGAGCTCCGACACGTTCATCGTAGTGACCGGCCCGAAGGGCTCTGGCAAAAAGGAGATGGTCATGGATCAGTCACTCGAAGGTCGGAAAGATGTCCTGACGATTGACTGCCGACCTATCGTCGAGGCTCGCGGAGAAGCTGGCACGATCCGCAGACTTGCGGCCGCTGTCGGGTACAGGCCCATTTTCTCGTGGGCAAACAGCATGAGTAGTATGATTGATCTGGCCGTGCAGAGCACCACGGGCGTCAAGGCTGGCTTCTCCGAAACTCTCGAATCACAACTGAACAAGATCCTGTACACGACGACTGCAGCCTTGAAGAAAGTCTCACTGTCTGGTCGCTCCAAACGGGACAAGGATGCCAACCTTTCAGATGATGCCTACCTAGAGTCGCATCCTGAACGCCGACCAGTTATCGTTATTGATAACTTCCTACACAAGTCCGAGGACAAGGGCATTGTCTACGAGAAGGTAGCAGAGTGGGCAGCCTCAGTTGTGCAGAACAATATTGCTCACGTCATCTTCCTCACAAATGATTCTTCCTACACCAAATCTCTGGCTAAGGCTCTCCCGGACCGTGTCATTCGCTCGGTATCGCTGGGAGATCTCGACCCAGATGTGGCAAAGAACTTTGTCATGAGCCGTCTGGATGAAGAAGCCGCGGCAGACGAGAAAGAGAAGAAGAAGGAGAAGCGTGATGGTGAAGAAGTGAAGCCCACCAAGCTCGACTTGGCAGGACTTGACGAGAGCATTGAGACCATGGGCGGCCGCCTCACGGATCTCGAGTTCCTCACCCGCCGCATCAAGACTGGACAAACCCCCAAGCAGGCTGTTGACGAGATTGTGAACGAAACCGCCTCCGAGATTGTCAAGATGTTCCTCTTGGGTAAGGCCAGTGGCGAGGAGCGCAAGTGGTCTACTCAGCAAGCCTGGGTTCTTGTCAAATCGCTGGCCAAGGAGCCTACGCTTCGCTACCACCAAGTCCTCCTCTCGCCCGCTTTTACGAGCTCCATGACACAATCTGCCAAGGACGGGGAGACTGCCCTCGAAAGCCTCACAAACTCGGAGCTCATTGCTGTGCAGTACACGCGGGGCCGCCCCACGACCATCACCGCAGGCAAACCATTGAACCAAGCGGCATTCTCTGTCCTCCAAAACGACCGTGTCTTGCGTGCAAAGATGGACCTGGCTGTTCTGACGGAGAATGCCAAGGTCGAGGCGCAGAGCATTGACAAGTACGAGAAGGAGCTCTCACTGCTCGGCGGCTTGCCCAAGCAGACTAATGAGACTACCTCGCGTATCAACTACCTGCTGGGCAAGATGAACAGCAGCCAGGACAAGATTGTCCAATTCGACAGTGAGATGAGCGACCTCAAGAAGATTCTGAACAAGGAGTACTAGCAAGGATGCTCACTCGAATATTATATTTCTGGGCAAGGGATTTCTGGGTACGGGAAGGGCGTAACGCGGCGGGCTTGTGTTTCTGGTTGCGGAAAAAACATACCCTTCTCCATCTGCAGTGGTAACGTCTCGAATACATTGTTCAAACAGATGCTACGCTGTCATTTTCATCTTCCCTGTAGACACATACATAGTGACCTCTTCCTAGCGGTTGCGCCACGATAGCGAACCCGCATCGAAAGCAGAACTCCTCATCTGCGCCTCGGAACATCATTGGTATCAAACAAAAATCAGCGCCGTCCATTCCCGACAGACGTCAGCGTGCAAAACTTTCCCGGCTGGCAACCGGCTACGAATCCGCCATCAGCATGGACTGCGACATGTCTGGCTGCAGTGATGTAGACGAAAGCTCACAGGCCTGCGCAAAGAAGATGCGAGCCGGTTGGGAGTACTCATTCCTGATTGTGTAGTAGTTGCCTGCCATCGTCAGTTACCGCCCAGCAAGCAAAGGAGAGAAGAAAAGAAAAGAAAAGAAAAAAAATATATAAGAACAGAGAATAAACTCACCTCGTGGGACAAACCACTGGCCGCCAGCCGAAATCGCAAACTCTGTCTCGTTCACGGCCACGGAGACCTTACCCGTGTGCACAAAGAAGACCATGTGCATCTTGCGCGAGTTCTTGGGCCTCTTGACGGCTCCTGGCGGTAAATCCACGATGCCAGCGCCCATGAAGGGCATGGTGAGCGTCTTTGCAAACTTGAAAGTCGCGTCGCGGATTTCCCGAGTCTGAACAGCCTCGCCCGAGATGGCAATCTCTTCCTCGCTGATGTCGACGGGCTCCTCGTCGCCAGGAGGCTGAGTCTCATACTCTGGGTCCCAGGCTATCACCTCGCTCACGATTCTGCCCTCGTTGGTCTCCCAGTCCTCGAGGGGCTCAGTGTCGTCCTGTTCCTTGACCGAGGCGGCTCTGGCTTTCGCTGCAGGTTTCCGCCCAGACTTGGACCCACGGCCGCGCTTTGTTGGTTCGGGTTCATCTTCGTGGACACGTACAATCTCCTTCATGGACTTGAGGACGAATCCATCTTGGTCCTTTTTGCGGAATATATCAGGCTGTTGCACGTCCTCCTCGATGGCCCTTTCGCCCTCCCACCAGCTCAGAGGCCTGTAAGTGTGACGTCCGGACCTCGTCTGCAAGATGGCATCGGGATCCCGCTTCACAGACATGAGTCCTCTGCGCTTGGGCATGGGCGGACCCTTTTGTAAGTCCAGAAGTGATGCTTCCCCGGCATCGTCGCCTCCCGCATTGGCCACCTTTGGTTTGCGACCTGGTGGTCTCCCGCGTGATCTTGCTTTTGGTGCAGTTGATGATTTGGGTGGTAGTTTAGAAGCCGCAGGAGCTGGCGATGCCTGGGTCGTCTTCTGGCGTTTCGCTCGCGGGCTCTCCTCCGCTGGAGGCTCCTGATCACCGTCTTTGTCGCTGTTAGCGTTCAACGGCGGCCGCTTCTTACGTTCGGCCGTCGTTTTGGGAGCGGGCGGCGCTTCGTGGACAGCAGCCTCCTTGCTCTTCTTGGATGGACGTCCCCTCTTCTTCTTTTCCGATGATTTAGGCTGTGTCGCCTCTGGCGTGGGCTGATCCTCCACTTGTGCGGCAGGCGTTGCCTTTGGACGCCCACGACCCCTTGCGGCCTTGGCTGGCGCTTGTTTCACAGGCTCAACCTCAACCTCAGGCTCGGGCTGGGGTTCGGTTTCTGGAGCCGCCTCCTCTTCATCTTCAGCTTGAGACACCTCTTCGGCATCTTGCAAATTGTCCTCGCCAAGTTCACCGTCACTACCATCGTCCTCGTGCTGCGCGTCCAACCCGTTCTCGATCATGTCCATATCATCATCATGTTCGTCAGTGGCCGCCTCCTGCTCGGCCATCTCAGCTGCAGCCGCGCCATTCGTCCCGTTGGTCTTGCTGCGCTTCGCGGTTGACGGGAAGTTGATCCTGCGCGTGACTGTCACATCGCGGTCTTCTGCAATGGGCGATGACATGTGTGGGTTTCGCCTGGCAGGTGATCGCAGGGTGGTTTTGAGGGGCGAGCGATCTTGCGAGATTGGGTAGTGGTCGTTGCGCTGATTCTTGAGGAGAGTTCGTGGACCTGGCCCAGCGCCTGCGCGCGTTAGTTAGTCCTGTCGGCGTACTTGCGCTGACTATGGGCAAGCAAGGCAGGTAGCTAGCTCACTTGTCTCAATGCTCATGGCCTCGCTTCCCGACTCGTCGTCATTCTCATCATCGTCATCTACACCGTTGGCTGACGCGGGCTGTTTCGTTGGCGAGGAGAAGAGGGCGTCGAGTGGTTGCATGCCCTGAGCATCGACCTCTCCCGTGTTGGGCAGCGCAACGCCTGTTTTCCTGGGCGCAAAGAATGTCAGATAAGTACCCTACTTGAGAGTCCTGCTACGAAGTAAGTGGCGCGACTTACCGACCACGGACACCAAGCTCGTGAAAGGCCTGGGATTCCGAGCCCTCGCCCCCAGCGCGACGGCCGCGAGGCGCCATTGCGGTGCTATCGTGTTGCGTGACAATTGGCGAGATAGTGGCTAAAAAGCCTTCGAGCTGCAAGGTTCGATGCAATGCTAGGTAGTGAAGGTCGACTGATCTAGCTGAGCTTGTGGAAAGTTCGCGCCACAAGGCAGATGAATGGGATATGGGATGCGGCTAAAGTTGATTGCGACGGAAAACTAGCGGGCAGCGTCCATCCATGTCAAGAAGTGCGTCCAGTCCTCAAGACGCGCCCGACTGGAGTCTTTGGTTGAGCCCAGTGTTGATTCACAGTGGGCGGGCCGCTGCAGACGGCCCCGAAGAGCGGTCACCCGGTGGCTGGGCCCCACTGGCACGCGCCTGGACGCGTCTTCGCAGCGCCTGAGACCTGCGACGCGTCGAGGGGCAGCAACTGCAAACCCAAGGTCAGGTATGGTTAGTATAGTACGTACGTTCAATGTCCATCTCATGAACAGGATCGTCAAACAGAAAATCGTCCTTGGCACGGTATCGTTGACTGCTACCTCAGCCTGCAACCAACACCAGACATGATGGAGGACGATCCCCCACCCAACGACTCCCAAGTCGCCCTCGACACACCTCCCACCTCGTCCAAGATCTTCCTCCCCCCATCCATCGACCGTCAGCCCCTACTCGCAGGCGCCTCAACAACCTACTTCTCCCCCGTCCCGTCCTCTCTCCAGCCGGCAGACCCCTCGAACCCATCATCCGCGCCCGCATGCGCCCTCGGCGTCGATGAGGCCGGTCGCGGTCCCGTCCTGGGCCCCATGGTCTACGGCGTCTTCTACCTCCCGCTCCCGCTGTCCGACCCCCTTCTCCGCGAGACACACCACTTTGACGATTCCAAAGTTCTCAAGCCAGACGTTCGCTCCGATCTCATGCGCACGCTCTGCACGCACGGCTCCGATCTACACGCCTCGTGCGGGTGGGCCACCAGCTCCCTCTCCGCGCGCGACATTGGCGCCAACATGCTCCGTCCCACGACGACGTACAACCTCAACGCCCAGGCCATGGACGCCACCGTTGACCTCATCCGGGGCGTCTACGCGCGCGGCGTCAACGTGCAGGAGATTTACGTCGACACCATTGGCCCCCCCGCCTCGTACCAGGCCAAGCTGCAACGGGTCTTCCCCACGGCCAAGATTGTCGTCGCGAAGAAGGCGGACAGCCTGTACCCCTGCGTTAGCGCGGCCAGTGTGTGCGCCAAGGTGACGCGCGACGCGGCACTGGAGGTTCTGTACGAGGCTAGAGGGGAGGCCGTCGGCCGTGGTGAGGACGAGGGCATGGCGTGGGGGTCGGGCTATCCGTCGGACGCGAGGTGTTCCAGTTGGCTGAGGGACAACATGCACCCAGTGTTTGGATGGGGTCCAGAGTGTCGGTTCAGCTGGGGCACGGCAAAGGACATGCTCGATGCCAAGGGCAAAGGTGTCAGGGTGGACTGGCCAGAGGACGACGATGGCGACACGGCCAAGATGACGGATTACTTTGCTGGCAACGCGGCGGACAAGGATGCCAGTGAGTTGGGGAGTTGGTACGGCACATCGGCCGGTCTCGAGGCTTTCTGATTAGGTTTTCTTTTTGCTTATTGTAGAGTTCGGCGTTGGGCACAAGGGCACTGGGTCCTCATAGATATCCTGAAATCGTGAAAGCATTATACGTGTAGCCTAATTACTCATCGAGAGCCGCCAAGACCGACTTGACTCAAATGTCGTCATCGCCATGTGCCGAGTCGTCAACCTTCTTCTTGCCCTTTGTGTCCAGATCATCCATGCCAATGTCCTCGGTGCTGTTGCCGCTCTTGGCTGGCACGCCGACGGCCTGGCGGGCCATCTCCTGGTTCATGATGAACTCGCGCAGACGCTCCTTGCCAATGTCGAGCCCCTGGGTGAAAGCCGCATTGCCCATGTGCATCATGGGTCCGAGCAGATTGAGAGAGTACGAGACGTACAGGCCACCAATCATGAGAATGAGTAGCAAGAAGAGGAAGGGGTTCTTGAGGACTGTCGTTTGTTAGCAAAGAGGATCAAGGTAGGGCCGGCACTCCACGTACCCGCAAACAATTCGTTCCATCCAAGCGCGAGCAGCAGGCCATAGAAATACCACGGTACTTGCGTGACGCCACCGAGCGCACCGCGCTTGGCCTCGACAAAGACGCCGTCGGCTGTCTTCTTGAAGCGGACAACGAGGTCCTGTCGCTTGCTCTCGCTGAGCACCGTCGTCTCCTCCTCGAGACTCTTGCCCTCGTCTTCATCGACGCCGCCGATCGGGGGCAGATCCTCCTCGTCGCCAGCCTCCACGCCGCCTGGCTGGGTCCCAATGAAGCTGACCAGATCGGGCGGCGCATAGGTCGATGCGAGTCTGAATCTTGATAGCAGAGGGATCAGCTTGAGCGTCGACTCTCTTGCTTTTGTGTAGATGCCCTCAATGTCGTCGGTGGGGCGCCATATCCTGGGCACGCCAGCTTCGTCGTAGCGGAATTTATCCTCAAAGTTCTCCCGCAGCTTCATCAGGATATTGCCCTCCATGACTTCTTCATCCACCTTCTCGCGCAGGGCGACCCAACTCTTGCGCCTCAAGCGCCACATGCCTACATCGACCTCTTCGTCACTGGCATCGAAGCTCTTGGCACGTTCGGCGAAACGGACCTCGGCCTCCTTGACGATGCCCGTGAAGACCTGCCAGATGCGGTCCCACAGGTCCTTCTCCGTCGCCGGCCTCTCGCCCTCCTCGGGTGCGCCGGTCCCAGCCCTACCGGAGCCAAGCTTGTTGAACTCGAGGCCAATCGCCTCGCCGAGACGAGACTTGACCCACCGTTCGACGCGCGTGGCCAAGCGGCGCATTTCCTCCTTTCGCAGCTTGCCGCTGACCTCGTCCAGCTCCTGCTCAAACAACATGTACTGCGTCTTGAAGTTGGTCCACGGCACGCCCTGCATAGCTAGGCTCTGCGCCTCGACCTTGAAAATGTCCAGCGTCTTCTTCTTCTCGCTAGCTACAATCTCGGCAAACTCGTAGCCCCCGCCGGCCTTTTGCCCGGCCTTGACCTTGTTGCTCACCGCCTCGCTGAACGCCACGACGCCCGCCTTGTGCGCCGCGGAGAGCTGGCCCTGGTACAGCGCCTTCATGCGCGTGTCGACCTTGCTCTCCAACTCTTGTCTTTTGCGCGTGAACACGCCCTTGTGGTACCGACTCGCCTGCGACTCGAACGACTTGAGCACCTCGGTGCGTGCCTTGCTGCCGGTCGCACCGAGATCGGGCAGGACCGTGGGTTTGCCAAACCTTGTCGCTTCGGCCTGTTTCTCCTCAAGTGGCGTGATGACAACGTCGAATGAGATGAGCACCTCACGCGCGATTTCGTCGCACCGGAATTGCGCCAGCAGTTCCTGTTGCGTAGGGAGATCGAGATCCTTGTTGTTCACAATCTGATCCCAGATACCTTCGGCGTACATGGAGAAACCGTCAGCGGGAATTCGGCGATGGTACTCGGGCAAGAACACGCCGCCTTGGAGTTCGTCGTCATCCTTGTTGCCAGACTTGCCACGGTGGCCCGTGGTGAACCGCGAGCCCAACGTGGCCACCTCGCTAACGAATTTATCTCCCTGGAGAATCTTGTGGGGCAGTGCCGCGAAGCCAAAGTCAAAGTAATCCTCGATCCTGGAGTTTTCGAGGCCTTGGGGCTTCGAGATGGAGCTCCATATTTTCGTAAGGTCCTGGATCAGCGTGTTTCTCAGATTGGCCAGCGGTGTGGTACCGAGGTGGTCGCGGATCACGAAGAAGAGCAGTGATCGAGGCGTCGACTTCTTGTCCTTGAGGAACAGCTGCAGGTTGACCTCGAACACGGTCTTGAGCAGTCCCATGTTGGCGCCCTGGTACAACCCGACCTGGTGCTCCCAAATGTTCACCAGCAGGACCTCGCTCGTCGCGAGCGCAAAGAGCGCGCTCTTCCTCTCAAAATCCTGGTCCTCGCCACGCTCGCGGCCGTCGGTACCCTCGACATCCATCACCAGGATGTTGTCCGCCATCTTCGTGCCCGCGCTCTCGGTGCGCTTGTTCTTGGACATCCAGATACCCTTGGTCGTCTGCTGGCGCGCCGTCTCCGACATGACGGAGAATTCGGTACCAAACAAGTTGTTGAGCAGCGTCGATTTGCCGGTCGATTGGGAGCCGAAGACGGAGATGATGTGGTAGTTGAAGCCGGCTTCCGCGACACGTTCCACTTGCAGGTACTCGTTCATGTTGGCGCTGCATACAGTCAGCAATGTTTTACGATTTCCCTGTCGTTCAGACCAACTTGAACTCCTTGTCGCCGTCAATAATCTGGACGCCATGCTCAAAGCTGTCGGCGGACGGCGCCTCGCCGACACCAGCCATGTGGCCGTTCATCGTTGTGGCCAGTTGTTTAGTTCAGGAGGGGCGCGGGCGGGTTCCGTAGAATTGGTCGCATGTGTCGATTGGAAAGGTAGTTTGCAAATACAGACTCAAAGCCCCGTCGCATGGGATTTGTCCAGGAGAACAGATACGGTTGACAGTTTCCTTTGAAGGTGAATGATCGTTTTGCCTGCCTACCATACATTCGCTCATATGATGTGGGCAGGTGGCCCAGCTGCATGCCATCAAGTCCACGGGCCAAGCTGTGGCGGAGAAGGGAGCTTGCCCCCACCCGTCCCTCGGTTTAGCACATGTTCCGCGCCGAGACGTCATCGTGGTGCGTCCGTACACGTACATGTAGGTATGCCAATAATGCATATGTGCATGACTTGTGCACACTGTGCTCCTCACGCAAACAGTCGTTCCTTCTCGTGAACCCCACGTCCAATAGAGGGGCGGCCAAGCTGGCCATCAAGGGTCCAGTCCATGAACTACAGCAGGAGGGGTTCATCATGTTAAAAGCACAGCCGTACAACTCACCTCATCCGACTGCTTGCTCTGCTGCTCTCATTCAATAACCCTCCCTAGAGTAGTCACGCAATCCAAAATGCTCATCAAAGAGACCCACGTCGACGTGCCTGTCACCGTCAATGGCACCGAACAGTCTATGCGTGAGGTCTTATCCAGAAGATACCGATGTACCGTACAGGTTACTGATCCCCCTTGCCAGGCATCTTTGTCTTTCACCCAACAATTCCAGGCTATCCAAAGGCGTGAGCTTCCCTTGCTTCGATACAGTGAAGATCAACTTGGCTAAGGTGCACATGCAGCAAGTTTCCCGGTGTCTGCGTTTTCAGCGAGATCTATCAAGGTACTTCAGGCAGCCCCTATGTCCAACACTCCCTTACACGGTCCTCACACACATAGTGACCGGCCCCGTCGCCCGCTTTGCCCGCCAGATCGCGGGACAAGGCTACATCGTTGCCGCCCCTTCTTCCTACCATGACTTCACGGGCCCCGAGCCCCTGGCCTACGACGCCGCCGATACGGATAAAGGCAACGCGTACAAGGCGCAAAAGGTCGGGTTCTCCATCCCCCTTATATCTTCGGATCCTCAAAGGCATGGCCTCTAACGTACACAGACACTCGAGTCGTACGATGCTGATGTCACAAGCACCGTCGACTACCTCCTGTCGCTGCCCACGTGCACTGGCCTCGTCGGGTCAACGGGTATGTGCCTGGGCGGCCACCTTGCGCTACGTGCTACAGTATGTCCTCTCCCTTATCCAGCACGTTGTACACACCCAAGTCTCACACGCGCCAGTTCGACTCCCGCATAACAGCGTGCGTGGCGTACTTTGCCACAGACATCCACTCCCGCTCTCTCGGTCCCCATGAGGCCGCCAATTCCTCTCCAGAGCCCCCCGCCGGCAGCGCACACACCCTGGACCATCTCGAGAAGCTGCAGCACGCCGAGGTGGCCATGATCTTTGGCATCAAGGACACTCACGTGCCCGACGCAGGACGGGACCTCATCCGCTCCAAGCTGCGCGAGGCCAAGGCGTGCTTCAGTTTTTACGAATTTGCCCATGCACAGCACGCTTTTATCAGGGATGAGCTGAGCAAAGGCCGCTACGATCCGGCTATTACCAAGGTATGCTTTGAGGTGCTCCTCGAGCTCTTCACACGGACTCTCAAGACCGACCTTGGCCCTAGAGATGGAGCTGTTACTGCGCCGGAGCACGTGTGCTAGGTTTGCCATAAGAACCGAGCAGTAAAAGACAAAAGATAATAATTTCAGGAAGTCTCCAATATACCGGCGTAGAGTCCATCAAGGACGCATCACACCTGTCTATTTCAAATCTACATATCGTGATATGCGACGTATTGCTATACCTAAACCAACCCGGACTCGACGCGCCGCAGCGCGGAGATGATACTATGCCAATTTCTATAAACAAAAAAATCAGGTTTTAATGTTGACATAAATGCTCCTTCGCAACCCATGCATGGAAAAGCATGTACGCACACCGAAGCCTCAAAACTTCACACTTCTTTTTTTTCTAGCGCTGCCCTGCAGGAGGCGGCCCTCGCGGCTGCGGAACGTTCGGCTGCGGTACGTGCGTCTCACGCTGCGGTGATCTTTGGCTGGCGAACGATCGGCGCGTGTCAATCTGGGACTCCTCGTCAAAGAGCTCCCGACGACTGTGCCCCGGCGAGATGGGCGAGGTGACGCCCTGGTTGCTGCCCGCTAGCGACGGGATGCTCTCGCCAGCCTTGCGCCGGCCGCGTGTGCTGTGCCTCTTCAGCATGTCGTTGCGCAACGCGTTGATGTCGCGGTCACGCTGGGAGGCTTCTCGAGCGATACTGCCGCCGAGCTTCGAATCGTCCCAATGGCCGCTACCGGCCATCTCACGCACGGGCGGACGCTCTGCGATGCCCGAGATGGCGGCCTCTTCCTTCTCCTCGGCCTCGGCGGCGTTGGATGGGGGTGGTACGAGACGGGCCTCCGCCTTGGACTTGGCCGAATCGTCGCGAGCCTTGGAGGCCCAGTCGTCCGTCACGGCCACCGAGTATGCGGGGTTGGCAGGGCCGCCGAGAGCATCGCCGCCGCCACCTGGGCCGTTAATGGGCACCTTCTTCATGGCAAGGGCCAGGGCACACATGAACTTCGAACGGCGGCTGGCGCGGACCATGGCGTTGTGCCAGTTGGACTTGTGCAGGATGGAGATTTCGAGGGTGAGCTTGTCAAGGTTGCCGATACTGCCGATGCCAATGGTGAAGTCTGGCTGGAAGTCGCGGGAGTTCTCAGGGTCGCGTACAAAGTTCTCCATTTCCTGGCGGAGAAGCTCAACGTCCTCGAAGCTCGTGTCGAACGATACGTCAACGGTGAAACTCTCGTACATGGACTTGCTGCGGGAGATGTTGTCGACCCAGTACGTGTTGAGGACAATGTTGGGGATCTGTGAGACTTGCTGGGTCTCGGTGCGGGTGAAGACCGAGTACAGCAGGGAGATGCGCTCGACAATGAGCTCCTTGTCCGAGATGAGGACACGATCGCCCACGTCGTATGGATGCTTGACGAAGAGGAAGATGCAGGAACCGAGGAATTCCTGGGCAGTGACCGCGAAGATGAACGAGAGTGACAGCAGCGTCGTGCCAGCCGAGGCAATAACAGTGACGAAGCTGCTCTGGAAGAAGGCCAGGAAGATGAAGATGACGATGAGCAGCACCACGAACAGGAGCACCTTGTCAAAAGCACCGAGAGCTTGGCCAATGTCCTTCATGCCCTCGGCAATGGCCTTGCGTTCCTTGCCAGTCTCGACAACTTTGCGGACCATCTCATCGAGACTAATGTCACCATTGCCGTCGCCGTCAATGGCCGCAAACGCCTCCTCAGCCTCCGCGCGGTGGGCAGGGCCCAGCACCTCGACGACATCCTCAAAGTAGAGAGAATCCTTGCCCTCGACGACAAAAGACATCCAGATGCGGCGTGCCAGGGCATCAGAAGAGCGCAACTTCTCCAACGCCTCGAGGACGATTGAGTGTGCAGAGTTGGGGTTGAAGACTTGCTTGCCGGAAATCTCAGAGGCAATGTTTCCAAAAGCCGAGGTCACCTTGCCACCAATGCGCCCCGCCTCGCCGAGCAGTCTCATGGGCGTCACGGTACCCGACTTGGAGCGGCTGTGCTTGCCACCGCCGAATTTCAACTCGATACTGTCGTTGATGACATGGTCCTCCTCGGCGAACTCGGGGCAGTACATGGGGAAGAGCGTGCGAGAGGCGTCGTACAGGAGGCCAAGAAGATGTATCTCTCGCTTCGAGTCCTTGATGCGGTTGGCGAAGGAGCGTTGGTGATACGTGACGCCAATCATCTGGACGATGAACTTCTCGCCGAGGAAGACAGCCGAGGAGCAGAAGAGGGCGCTCTGTATCGTCTCCAGAGTCCTGACCCAGTTCACGCCGCTGTTGTATGACTTGCCAAAGAGGTTCCTGAAGGTGAGCCAGGACGCCAGCGCCCAGAAGAACAACGAGAGGGGGAGAGACAGGTTCTCGAGCACGGTGGCGTACTTGCGTGTACCAGCGCTGACGATGCCGGAAAAGAACATGAAGAGCTTAGGGATGAACCAGGCGACGAGCTTGGCGGCCCAGACAGTGAGCCAGGTGATCTCAATCCAGAGCAGAAGCCGGAAGAGGGGAGGCCCGATGGTGAGGTCGTCCCCCCGGCCAGTGTTGCCCACGGGGATATCATTTTGGTGACCGGTGAAAGCGAGGACAATGATGGGTATGGCGAGTATGATGCCAACGGGGATGATGTAGACGAGATAGCGGTTGACCACAGAGAATCCGATAATCTTGTTGTACAGTCGACCCATGAAGTTCAGCTTGGGGCCACTTCCGACGGTGTCACCCGTGTTGCTCCGGCCAATGGCGTCGTCCTTCTTCTGGCGACGGCCCCTGTGGCGCTGGAAGGGGTTGTGCGAGTGTTCGTTCTGCTTGTCCTTTTCAAACTGCGTCGAGTCCAGGCTCGAGGTGATGGCCATGTCCGCTCGGCGTGCGCCGGTCGAGGCATGGCTCTTGACCGTGGCCAGAGGAATGCCGTCGTCTGGGCCACTCATGTTGCCGTCCTGCTGAAAACGACTGGCTCCGTCGGGGAGTTTGGCAAAGCCAGATGTGCGTGATGTGAGGGAGTGTTGTCTGCCGGGTATGCCCATGGCGAGACGAGGACGATTGGTGTGGAAGGGAGGTCGACGCCCTCTGCGTTCGCACCGGACAAGAACAGAACAGTGACCCAGTTCACGTATGGATCCCGCACCACAGATTTAACTGCCCGAGGCCGCGATTGGGAACGAGGTGGACCGTATGCGGGGCGAGAGTTGTCGTTGATTAGCGTCGGGGAGCCTTCTAGTGAATGCGGTGATGCACACGCTACCCAAGCTGTCCGAGCTGAAGCTGGGCGCCAATGCCGATCAATGAGCGATGGTGATGGTGGTATCAGTGGT